CCTAGGAGCAAACTCACAGCCTCCTAATTATGAGGCAGCAGCTCCACCTCTAGGCTACTGTACCACTCCTTCCATTTCACCCCCATGATCCATCATATACTTCAACTTTCATCACATCCTTTATTGTTCCCAGCAGCTAACAATAGTTTAATGAAGCATACCATCTGATCAGCAATCACTCTTCCTTAAACATAAATATATTATTTCATAGTTTATTAAAACAACTCTAGAGGATTATGAGTGACTGGTCTCCTCCCCTTCTAGATCCAGTTCTTTCTGATTAGCCAGGTAATTGGAATTGGCAATACAACAATTCTCAGCTGAATGAGCTCACTTATTCAGAGCAAACAGGAATCAAAGCTTCCAGATTTGCTGAACCAAGTTACTACAGGTGAAAGTCAAAAAAATTAGAATATCGTGCAAAAGTTCATTTATTTCAGTAATGCAACTTAAAAGGTGAAACTAATATATGAGATAGACTAATTACATGCAAAGCAAGATAGTTCAAGCTGTGATTTGTCATAATTGCGATGATTATGGCTTACAGCTCATGAAAACCCCACATCCGCAATCTCAGAAAATTAGAATGTTGTCAAAAGACAATATTCAATATTCTAGGCTCAAAGTGTCCCACTCTAATCATCTAATTAAGCCATAACACCTGCAAGGGGTTCCCGAGCCTTTAAATGGTCTCTCAGTCTGGTTCAGTAGGAAGCACAATCATGGGAAAGACTGCTGACCTGACAGTTGTGCAGAAAACCATCACTGACACCCTCCATAAGGAGGGAAAGCCCCAAAAGGTAATTGCAAAAGAAGTTGGGTGTTCCCAAAGTGCTGTATCAAAGCACATTAATAGAAAGTTATGTGGAAGGGAAAAGTGTGGAAGAAAAAGGTGCACAAGCAGCAGGGATGATGGCAGCCTGGAGAGGATTGTCAGGAAAAGGCCATTCAAAAGTGTGGGGAACTTTCACAAGGAGTGGACTGAGGTTGGAGTCAGTGCATCAAGAGCCACCACATACAGATGGATCCTGGACATGGGTTTCAAATGTCATATTCCTCTTGTCAAGCTGCTCCCGAACAAGAAACAATGTCAGAAGTGTCTTACCTGGGCTAAAGAAAAACAGAACTGGTCTGTTGCTCAGTGGTCCAAAGTCCTTTTTTTCTGATGAGAGCAACTTTTGCATCTCATTTGGAAACCAAGGACCAGGAGTCTGGAGGAAGAATGGAGAGACACACACTGCAAGATGCTTGAAGTCCAGTGTGAAGTTTCCACAGTCTGTATTAATTTGGCAAGCCATGTCATCTGCTGGTGTTGGTCCACTGTGCTTCATTAAGTCCAGGGTCAACTCAGCTGTCTACCAGGAGATTTTGGAGCATTTCATGCTTCCTTTCGCAGACGAGCTTTATGGCGATACTGACTTCATTTTCCAGCAGGACTTGGCACCTGCCCACACTGCCAAAAGCGCCAAAACCTGGTTCAATGTGCTTGATTGGCCAGCAAACTCGTCTGACCTGAACCCCATAGAGAAACTATGGGGCATTGCCAAGAGAAAGATGAGAGACATGAGACCGAACAATGCAGAAGAGCTGAAGGCCACTATTTAAGCATCCTGGTCTTCCATAACACCTCAGCAGTGCCACAGGCTGATAGCTTCTGGCTATGTCACATTGAGGCAGTAATTGCTGCAAAAGGGGCCCAAACCAAGTACTGAGTACATATGCATGCTTATACTTTTCAGACGTCCAATATTGTTCTATGTACAATCCTTGTTTTATTGATTACATGTAATATTCTAATTTTCTGAAATTGTGGATTTGGGTTTTCGTGAGCTGTAAGCCATAATCATCGCAATTATGACAAACCACGGCTTGAAATATCTTGATTTGCATGTAATGAGTCTATCTCATATATTAGTTTCACCTTTTAAGTTGCATTACTGAAATAAATGAACTTTTGCATGATATTCTAATTTTTTGAGTTTCATCTGTATGTTCAGCCAAACCTAGTTACTTTTTCATTTTAGACTTGAGGAAATAGAAGAAAGTTCAAAATGAGGGGTTGAATTGCAGACTGCATCCCTATTGCTCCCCATCCTTTTATTTTTATAAAGGATTTGGAAAAAAGAGTTGGCTCATCCACAATAAGTTTATTTATGCATATAGTAATAGGCATATATTAGAAAGAATTGTCCATGCCTCCTAGATATCATACAGTGGAATCACCATGCTTTAGGGCAGTTTGTCTGAGAACGTAGGGCATTGTTGTGAGGAAAAAAGGTTGACACTCTACTTTTTATACTCTTAGAACATACATGTGGAATCTTAATGGTTGGCAGATATTTATTCCAACTGAAGAAATCAATCTTAGCTGAGTATTGAATTTCATGTTCGTAATTTTATGGCTCATAAATCTTGTTTTATTAAACTCAATTTTTTGACCATAAAATATAGATGAAATAAACCTTCTTACCACTAATTTGCCAATATTGGTTTTCCCAACCTAGTCTACTTTATTAAAAACTAAAACTTGAAAACATCATATTCCTTAAATAAGAATATCTCCAATCCAGTAGATACACTGCTAGACAAGTAAACAATGAGAATAAGTCCAATGTAAATTGTTACCCTCATGTCTGGGTAATTATAAATATGGATTGTTCTTAGTAAGGAACCTCAAAAAAATCAAGGTATCATTTAAGTATGAGAAGAAACAAGTTTTCAGGAATAATAATAAAGATATTTAGCAAACTTCAAGTCATCATTATTATACTACTATAAATACTATTTGCCTGCTGAAGGGTTTCCATGTCTTCTTCATGGGTTTTCTCCATACTCTTACTTAGAAGTTATCCAGAAGCTTGTTTGCTACATACTAGAACAAATTATTTATGAATTGTTGATTGGCTTTGTCACCATGAACATATTGTTCTTTCTAGTACTCACTGAAAATTAAATTTGCCCTTTTCCTCTAATCTTTTCTATGGCCTAATGGAAACCTTTCCTGTCTGCTCTTTGCAACTCTCAAATTTGTTGCTATATGTCAATTGGCTGTTCACAAAAATGTATTTCTAGTTCCAGAACTTTTCCCACAGTTTTTCCTATAGACAACTCTAAGTACTTAACTACATTTCAGCATTACTCACTCTTTAACTGACTGTTCAAGAGATTTGGAGCTGGAAATTCAAAAGCATCTGAAGCATCACACCTAGCCCATTATTGCTTAATGTTTCCCTAACATGTCTTGATGACCAAGCTTCTGTTATTATCTACTTCTTTTTAAACATGAACCTAGTTAACAATGCTGAAGTTGGAGTCTTTTCATAACAGTGGCCTTTTTTATATTGAATCCTTGAACAGCTTTGCAACCTCAAAATGCTACCAATGACCTCCACAAGAAATGTTCAGATACTCTGAGAATGTGGAAACAAGAAATATTTCAGGAAATGATACAAACAGGTTTGATTTTGGTCCAGTGTTAAAGTAGTCCATACAGTTCTTTTAAATATTACTTGTTTAAAATATTAAATATTTGCTTGTTTAAATATTTAAATGTAAACACTCCCCATCCAAAAGCAGCTGAAATTAATTTTATGATACTTTTTTTTCAAAGAAAAAAAAGAATAAATTTCCATTTCTCACATCATTACATAACCATAGTGTATATTTACAGATAGAATTTCCATGAAATAAATTTAGGAAAACTCTTCAAATAAAATTATTTTCTGAATGTAAATTTTAATTGAAGAATCTTCTTTTTTTCCCCAATTTTTTTATTTCAATCTACATATAACAACAATACTTTAACAGTGTGACATCAATATATCATACATCTCTCATTGCATACATTCATATTAATTCATACTTCTTTAATATCTATTTTCAACCTTACTCTCTCCAAATGCCTACCACCATATCAGTTAAACATACCTAGTAATTCCATTATTCAATTTTCTCCCTGTTTTGATTTTATCTTTTAAATAAAAAATTCTCATTTGGCAAGCGGTATGGTTCCAGGTTTCACATCACAATACAAGCATGACCATAGTTACCTATTCATTTTATTTGTTTAATTTCATATTATGTCATCCTTATCATTATTAAATATTAAGCTTATCTTAGCCAATCCCAATTCATATTCTCTTACCTTATTTTACAGTATTATCTGAAATTCTCATCTCAATTCTATGTTCATTTATTCAATTCCAAATCCTAATATATTTCCTTCCATTTTTCTTAGTATATTTCATATCTTATTTTTGCAATAAAGAAACATTGAGAGAATTTGTTTTACAAAAGGTTGTTTGAAGAATTTGAGTGAAACATTAGGGAAGAGTATGTATAAGCATTATTTTAGGTTACTTAGCAAGTTACAAATAAAACTGTAGATTTTAACATGTTTTTCTTTAAGATAAACTGGAATGCTGCCTCTTAAAAAGCAGATAGCAGATTCACTAGATTTTTTTTTCTAATTCTGTGCTTGCCATCCAGCTACCTTGGCTTCTATATTCAACTGCTTCGCGATGTCTTTGTTTGACTTGCTTTATCTTTTGCAGGCTTCTTCCTTATTTCTAAATCTCTTCTACCTTTTTCATATATTTGTTTGCTGTCCATCAATTTTGTCTGCTCCCTATTTCCTCTTCCAATAAGTTAAATCCATAGAAATTGGTAGCTTAGCAACTGCAATAATTCCTCTCCTCTCCAGATGAGGAGTTACCACAACAACTGTAAATCTACTACAGCTGAACAAGTATGGAATTGTGGATTAACTTTAGTAAGGAAGACCTTCCTGTCTCAGGCCCACAGTCCAGGACATTTGTCTCTTTCAGTTTGCTTGGAACGAGGCCCATTTTGAAGTCTTTCTTGACAATTCTAAGGCTGTAAACCTATATCCATTTTCTCATAAACAAAATCAAATGTTCTTTGGGTTACCCTTGATGTGTGGTGCATGTTTGGAACTAAATCCTGTTGAATTCAGTAGGATTTATTTTTAAGAAGTATATGTGCATGCTTCAGCAGCACGTATACTAAAATTGGAATGATACAGAGAAGATTAGCATGGCCCTGCACAAGGATGACACACAAGAAGTATAATTCTGGACTATGCAATAGAAAAGTTAAATTTCCACAACTGTAGATGAATAAGAAGCACATTATAAACTACAAAAAGCCTTTAGATGAATCCTTTACTTAATTTTTCCATTTCAGCTACAAACCACATCTGTCAAAGCCAATCAGTGGAATGCTAGCAGGCAGCATGAAGCTATGCCAGCCTGTAACAATCACATATCAGCTAGCTAAAAGTGGATGGCTGATTAATTTTCACAAATTGCCTTCTTGTGACAGGAGCTTCAACTTTTTCTAATAATTGCTCTTGAATTAAGCAGGAAGGAAATACATTCTTTTTATTAAATAAATATGCTGTATTTCCTCCTGCAAGATACAATAATTGAGTAGGATTAGATCAAATACTGTACTCCTCTGAACCAGAGCTCTTCTTGATAAAGCAGAAATTGAAAAATAGACTCTATGAATAGCCTAAGTTTTAAAACTGCACAATTTGGAGCATATCTTTTTCTCTAATTAATTTAAATATTAACTCACATTTTCACTTCTCTAACAAGGGACATTTGTATTTCTAGCTGATTTTCAGTGTAAAACTTAATGCAAAAACTTATATATATGAAGTATGACCTATTGCATCACTAGAATTCTTCTGAAAGCAGTTTAGATTTGCATTTTAGAGTAGAGTAGGGTAGGGTAGAGCAGAGTGGAGCAGAGCAGAGCAAAGAAATTAGAGTAGAATAGAGCAGAACAGAACATAATACTTTATTTGGTCAAGTATGGTTAGATACACAAGGAATGTGTCTCTGGTATAGGAGCACTGAGTTTTCTTTTTGCAGATTGTCTTTTTTTCCTGCATGAAGACCATATACCCAGATGACACATTTCTTTAGAGACAAGTCCAAGTAAAATTAGTTAAATGCAGAACTTCTCAAGTAACATATACCATTTGTTCCCTTGATTTATTTTCTTCTGGTATAGGCATCACTAAGTTAGCAAGAAATATAGTATGTTGTGGGTTTCTAATGTATTTGCTGTACCTGTGAATTTTATTATGATGCCATGACAGAACCAAGGACAATTTAGAAGGAATAGAACTGATTAGGATCTATGATTGGATGAAATAGGATGGGTGAAGGTCCCTTGGGAAATGAGACTTGACAATATTTTACTTTAAAAAAATTCATCAAATGAAAAATAAAAATGGTAAGGATAGAAATATAGAATTTATGGCTACTCCCTTTAGCAATATGAGCAGTTATTTGTCTTGTTAATTCCCTGGTCAAGAGCTTTCCCAGTTCCATGAATCTCCTAACTTATAGGCATAATAAATTATGGTTTCTTTCTTTTTGTTTGTTTATGTACTGGTTCATTTTTAAAATTGAATTCTCAAAGTAAGATAAACTATGGTTCCTTAGTAGAAAAGACTCGGAGTCATTTCCATGGTATATCTATTGTAAAGTAACTAAAATGGAAAATTCTTACCAACATGGAATTAAAAGGCAGATAGAAGAATGTCATATGTGATTGATTTACTGCATTCGTGTCTCACCATTCATCCAGGATCTCCAAGCAATGTAAATATATTCTTTCCTTGCACATCATGCTGCTGGTCTCAAAGTGCTGCTGATCATGCCATATCTGCCTGCCATAAGACACCCCCACCCATTCCCACCTTACACTTGAGATATATTCTGATTTCTGATTCTGTCTTCCTGGGTTTCAGGAAGCAGCTGCATCATGCAAGCTGGGAAAGGGTGCAACAGCACTGCCCCACAAAATCTGTTTGGGACCAGTGGCTCTGTCCTTGAAGTGGTGCAGTGAAAATGCCTGAATATGATGTTATACCTTATAGACAACCTTGGTATCTACTAATTAAGCAGATGGACACTTGCCCAATCAGAGTCCTATCTGAAGTGAAAAACTTGCTATGATTATTAACCAACCCATCAACATCCATATGGATGAGTGGATACTTTACATCAAAGATCACTTTGCAATCTATAGCTGGTGCAGAATAGACCAATGTATGTGTTATCTGGTACAAATGATCAAGCATGTCATCAGCATGTTGTCCTAAATTTTAGGCTTGCCACTAGTTCAAAGTGCTACCTTTAACCTATAAGTCCCTTTATACCTGGCACTTCAGAACTATTTACCCCATCCAAAAGGGATTGAAGTGCTAATCTTAAGAAAAAAACTGTTCATAATAGAGAATTTTGGGGAGATATGCTGAGGTCAGAAAGCTTTACTTTTCTTTCTTTGTTTTTTTTAAACAAACTTTATTGATTACAAAACCAAAATATCAAACAAACACAACACACAGAAGAAAACAAAAGAAATAGAAAAAAAGAAGATGATTAAAAAACTAACGATTTTACTATTGACAGTCTATGGTTCCTTGTTTGCTATCAATATTAGTGATAGATTTACAAATACATCTTATTGTGAATATATAATTATGATTTACATTTTACGTTGTTTGCTAATATATTTTCTATTTTTGTTCTATCCAGTCATACCAACATTCCCAGCTTCTATAATATTCTGATGTTTCTTTTTCCTTAAGTGCTAAGGTTAACTTGTCCATCTCTGCACAGGCTGTTATCTTCTGTATAACCATCTCCTCTGTTGGAATATCTGCTTGTTTCCAACACTGTGCAAAGGTTATTCTGGTTGCAGTAAGAATATGCAATATTATATATTTGACATTTTAGGAATTTGTCTGTTAAATATCCCCAATAGGAAGAATTCTGGTTTTAATTCAATTTGCTCCGCCATTATTTCCTCTAACCATTTTTTTATTCTATGCCAGTATCTTTGGTCTTCAGTGCAGAACCACCACATATGAAAGAATATTCCCTGTTTCTTTTTACATTTCCAGCAATTCGGATTCATGTTAGGAGACATTTTCGCTATTCTCGAAGGTGAGAGATGCCATCTAGAAAACATTTTATAGGCATTTTCTTTATATGCTGCTGATCTTGTAATTTTATGTCCCATGTTTCTACTCCAAGCTGTCATGTTGCCTTTGACTACTTCCTCTTCTAATTCCATCTCTAGTAAATAATTATAAAATTTAATTATATTTTTTTATCTGGACCTAATAAAATTTTATCTATTTGTTGTGCCTTAGTATAAATTCCAAATTTTTTCTTTACTTTTCTATGATACCACTTGTTGCTGAAAACTGCCTGTCTCTGGAAAGTGAGAGGGGTGCTATCCATGTTGTCTTCTAGAAAGTAGTCCAAATCAAAATTTATAAGCTTGGTCACCAGTGGTTCTTATGCTATTTTTTTTATTACACCATGAATATTTTTATAAAGCATGTTTAATTTTTTTTTGTAAAGTACCAAGTAGTGCTACTCCATATGAATGAATGAATCAATCAATCAATCTTTCAATGAAAATAATTTTAGTCTTTATTTTCACTTGTCACATAGACTAAGCTAAGACAAAGTGACTGGCCCATCTAGTGAATTTCATGACATAGTTGGGATTTGATTCTGTGTCTTCCCATTCTTAATCCAACTAATTTTGTATATAGACAAAAATAGCAAAAAATTATTATATAATATTTATCTCAACATGCAGTTCATATAATAAATATTGATAGATATCACCAACATACCCACTCTCCTTTTTAAAAAAACTTTCTAGCCCAACTCAATATTGGAAATAGATTAGGTAAAGGTTGTATACAATTTGTACAATCACACTGAAAACAGAATCGAATGGGATCAGATTGGTATGAAGGAAGAAGCCAACTAAAGAAAGTTTGAGTTTCTGAGAGGCTGAATCTGATTGGGAACTGCAGAGAAAATATTTGCCTCCTAAATTGCTTGCCCCCCCCTCCCCCACCAATGGAGAAAGATTTGGAAAAGGATCAACATTCTGCTGAGTAGCGATAGAAGAGAATAGTTGTAGCTCAGATTTGAACTGCGAAGTCCTTGGTGGTCTCTAAGATTGGTTGTTTTCTTGCAGATGTTTCACTACCAAACTAGGTACTCACCTAATTTGATAATGAAACATCTGCAAGGAAACAACCAAGCTCAGAGAACACCATGACCTCACATTTTGCTAAGTGCTGTAAGCCCTCTCCCACTTGGTTATGTGACACAAACAGCTTGGTTATGTGACACAAAAGTATCTGCACCTTTTCTTGTGCTTCCCAGAACACATATACCCATTACTATAGGTACAATCTAAGAGGGGAGCAAACACAGAGAGATGACACACATACCCTCCCACTCATAACATATTGCTGTGTTCCAAAGAATGCAAATGTCAAAGGGTTACTATTTGGTAAAGGAATTTGAAAGAATTCCAGAAATGGTGTTCTACACACTTTCTCTTTTTTAGGAAGGATGGCTTGGACATGCCATCTCATACTGCTGTTGTCTCCAGCTTTGTTGGCCATATTGAATTGGAATTCTAAGGCATGTTTGGATGGTAAATACTTGGCAAATTAGAGAATGCCTTCAATATTCAGTCAGCCAATGCATCTCTGGTGGAGAATCAAGTTAAACAGAGTAAACTGCAGTTCACTCACTTGTGCTTTTAGGATGATCCATGAATCATTCTGTTGCCTTAATGCAATAGCAATAGGAATGTTCCGCAGAGCAACTCCTAGAAAGGGAAAGAAAATACATTATTTAACACCAAGAGAAACTAAAAAAAAATTAAATCAATAAAAATATTAGAAACTATAGAAACACCATTTTTAAGTAACCAGTGCAAGACCATTAATAAGACATGCACATTCTATCACAAATCAGGAAATGCACACTGATCTGCAATATTTTGGGGCTCAGCTGGAACTTCCTCAACTATTCCACATTGAATATAAAAGTGTTCAAGAGTTTTTATGCTAATTTTTCCACCTAAAATTACCTTATGCAGAAGTAAGTCTCAAATACAAAAACATGAAATGTAATCTTCAACAGGATTGGACTACAGTGCCACATTACTTATGTTATTATTGATTTATCAAGCAACATAATCTTATAAATTAGAATTAAGGACTGGAAAAATGTATGATTCAG